ACATGGGGCTGGGTCTCTCCGAGGCCAATCCAGGGGGTTCCAGGCCCTCTGGCCTCTGGCTGGCTCGGGTGCCACTGGGTGATGGACACCCTGCAGCCACGTGTCCCTGTCCCCCACCACCCCCATGTCCCCTCACCGCTGGCTGCTGCCCACCCATCCGCACCCCCTCTCCCCCTCCTGCTCCGTTTATCTCCTGTTTTCCCATTCATTCCCTTTTCTCCTCCAGCCCAATGAGTCACACAAGCCTCGAATCCTTTGCCTGCTGCCGTCTCCTCCCTTCTATTATATTTTTTCCTTTGCTCTTAACAGCACTTTCCTTTTCCACCCGTGGGGGGAGAGATTTGGGATGTACATTTTTCCCGGCCCCCCCACCACCACCTCCCAGCTCCTGCCTCACCGTGAAGCCCTTAAAAGTAATAAATAAATAAAATAACGGCTGAGGAAAGAAAAGGCAGGAAACGAGTGACAGGGAAAAGGAACCAAAACGAAAGAAAGAAGGAGGAGGGAGAAAAAAAGTCCTACTCGGGCTATGAAATATTTATTAGCCAGCGCGTGCCGAGCGCGTTAATAAAGCTGCAGCATTTGCATATTTTTTCCGTCGGCGAGGAGCGAGGTGTCTGTTTGGGGGGTGAAGGCACAGCTGATCCAAAGGCAATCCCCCCGGCCCCACAGGTCACGGTCCTGCTGGAGGGGACACCGGTCCCCGTGGCACGCCAGTGTCACCACGAGCAGGACCCCAGGGCGGTCCCGTGGGGGACACAGCCGGGAGGAGCCCGTGGTGGATCTGGTGGATTGTTTGGCGGACTCGGTGGATTTGGATTTGGATTTGGCAAGTTCCTCTGGGCTCTCCGCTGGCCGAGGAGCTGTTGGCGTCGGGTTCATCCATCCCAGTGCTGGGGGTGCCTTTTCTGGTCTGGGGATCTCCAGCACCCCACTGCCAGCCCAGGGGTGCCCAGCAGCACATCAGTCCCTTGCCCTGGCACCAAGGGCTCCCCAGGACTGTCACTCACAGCTCAGGGTGGCGGCAGCACAGCCATACCCCTGCCAGGACAGGCTGGTGGTGGGGACAGGGACAGTCTGGCCATGGGGATGGGGACGGGCTGGGTATAGGGATGGGGACGGGCTAGTGGTAGGGATAGGGGTGGGCACACAGGGGGTGTGGGAATGCATCACCCAGGATGTGCAGCCACACCAAGGACCTCGCTCCACGTGTGCGTGTGTCACAGTGCGTGTACATGTGGAGGTGTCGGTGCACACCCAGCCGCACGTGGAGCAGCACGGGAGCACCCGCTGGCGTTTGCTGCGTTCACCCGGGCGCAGAGGCGACCTGGGCGCACACCCGCGGCACCTACACCCACACCCTCCCCCCAGAGCCGCGCACACGCTCCCCAAAGGCTCGGGAACACCCAGCCCGGAGCTCTCACCCACGCGCGGCCGCTCGGACACGCCCGGGCACGCCGGGTCCCTCCCGCAGCCCCGCGGAGCCCAGCGCGGCACCCGGCACCGCATTAGCACCCGCGCGGCGCCGGGAGATAAATGGGAGCTGTCAGAGGCACCTTGTTTGCTGCTAACCTTTGGAAATGCCACGGCGCCCCGGGCTGCGCGCGCCGGGGGGAGCGGCCCCGCGGGGATTGTCGCTCACCACCTCCAATTAATCTCCTCGCGCTAACGAAGGCGGCGGGGTGACAGGGGGAGAGGTGGGGTGGCAGGGGAGAGGCTGGCTTGACCCTGCGCCCGCGGGCAGAGCGGGACAGCCCGAGCAGCAGAGCGGTGACAGAGCGGTGACAGTGCTGCCGGTGGTCCCTGCTGAGGCAGGGGGGAAGGGATGGGATCCGGGATCAGGGATCAGGATCGGGGACAGGGTTGGGGACAGGCCGGTGGTAGAGATGGGGACAGACTGGCGGTGGGCACAGGGACAGGCACGCAATGGGGACAGGGTCAGGCTGGCGGTAGAGACCCTGCCTCTGTAGAGGGGTGTCACTCTGCTCCTGCTGCTGGCAGGGGCTGTTTTGCCTTGAGCCTGTGCCCCACCACTCCCAGCCCCGCTCTGGGGCTGCTGGAGCTCATCCCACACCAGGGCAGCTGCTCCCTGGGCCCCCCCCGTGCTGCTCCTCTCCTCTCCACCAAGGTGACCGAGGGTCTCGGGGGAGCAGCTGACGGCGCTTGGCCCCAGCAGCAAATGGGATGTGAGTGGCCATCACCGCTGGGCCTGACGAACCAAATTGATGCCGGCACCGAGAGCCTTCCCGGTCCCTCTGCAGCCACATCCAGCCCTTCCCGCATCCTTGCCTGGCTCCCTGTGCGCGGGGCGTGACACGTGGTGCCCGTGGACTGCAGCGCCGTGGGGGCACAGAAGGGCACACGAGGGGCTGGAGAGCAGCTAAGGCACTGAACGATGCCATGGGGATGGTGATGAGGAGGAGGGCACAGGCAGGAGGATGAGGAGGGGAAGAGCACGGATGTGTAGATGCGGTAGCACACGTGACAGTAAAAAACAACCGTCTCAGGCACACCGAGGTGACCGGCGTGTGGCAGCGGAGCCCCGAACACCACAGGGCCATGCATGGCACAGTTCCTGGTGTGGGCAGGGAGGGAGGGGCTGGCACTGGGACCCCCCTGCGCACCCACAACGCGTGTCAGGAGGTTCATGGGCACGTGTGTGCAGCTGCACCCCAAAGGCACAGCAGGAGCATTAATATTTAATGCGAGGTGTTCGGGACCTGCCCTGCATTCCGACAGCGCTGCCAGGGCGCAGGGGGGTGACCTTGGTCCCCCTCGGCACTGCCTGGGGTGAGGTGCCCGTGGCCCAGCTCATCCCTGCCCCTCGCCCGCAGGCTCTGAGCCCCCCTGGCCGGCCCGTGCCGGAGCTCAGCGGGGGCTGCGGGCAGAGAGGGTCCCCCCACGCCCTCGGACTGCGCCGGTGCCGCGATCGATCGCCCTGGCTGCATCGCAGCCGCTGCCCTGCTCTGCAATTCCCTTTCATCCCCCGCTCCCCCAGCAGCTCCTGAGGAGGGACTGGATGGGTTGGGGGGCTGCCAGCCTGGCCCTTCGCCAGCAGGGGCTGGGGGCACTGCAGGGGTGGGGGCTGTTCCCTCTCTCCATTCACAGTCTGTGTCCCCTGGCTCCCGGCTCCATCTCCTGCAACCCCTGCACCAGCCTGGCCTGGGGATCTGCAGCCCCCCGGACTAAAGGGGGCTGCTGCCAGCACCCATCTGCTCTGCTCCCACTGCGTCCCCTCCCCACTGCCTGCCCGTCCCTGTCCCTTCCCTGTCCCTGCATCACTGTCTTCATCAATTCCCATCACATCCCATTCCCATCCCATCCCATCCCATCCCACTCACCCCTGCAGGGGACTGTGGGGAGCGGGGGATTGGAAAGGGAAACTGAGGCAGGGGAGGAGGGTGCAGGTGCCTGCAGTGCTGCTGGGGACGGGTCCTGGCTCCCAGCCCTGGCTGCGATGGAAATCCAGCACAGAGCTTGGAAACCTCCAGAAATCCTTCCCAGTGGTGGGGGCTCAGCAGCATATACTGCTCTGCTTGTGTTCCCTGCGGGCTGCAGGCCCTGGGCCCTTGCTGTGGGTGCAGGCAGGTTTGGGGGGCTCCCAGCTGTGGGGTCACGGGTGCCCCTTGGCCTCCCCAGGGTGGGATGTGAGGGGCTCCAGTCTGATGGATGGAGTGACGGAGCGGAGCTGGGGTGCAGGGGGAGGAGCTGCAACCACCCCCCCGGCCCAAAATGCATCTCTCCCAGCCTGGGGGTGCCCCTCTCCCCCTCCTCCCCTTATCTTGCCATCCCGGGCCTGCCCCCCCTCTCTGGCTGGAGAAGGAGCTGGGCTTTGAAGCTGCGTTGAAATATAGATAAGGGCGAAGGCAGCAGCGGCGCTCGGAGAGAGCCGGGGGGAGCGGGGGGCTGGCCGGGCTGGGGGGTGCAGGGATGGAAGCTGAGCCACAGCTCTGCACTGCACACCCTGTCCCCCCCCCTGCTCCCCCATGATGGGCTGAGTCCCCCCGAATCCCCTTCCCACAGCCCCATGGAGCTGCCTGTGCCTGCCCAGCGTTCCTGTCTCCTGTGTGGCACATGCCAGAGCAGATTTAGGGGCTCAGCCTAGCACACACCAGGGGGATGAGGTGATGGACCCCAGGGATGGATTGGATGGAGCCCCCAGCTCAACACCAAGTGTGGGGGACCATGGTTGGGCCCCCCAGTGGTGCTGCTTCACCTCTGGGGAGTGCCCAAGCAGAGACTCCACACACACAGACCCACCTGACCAAGGAGAAGGGGGCCTGGGGGGCTTCCCCCTCTCTGAGCAGGGTCATGTGACCCCCATCATTCCCAATTGAGATCATTCCCAAGCAGGAAACACTGTGCAGGGTGGGTGATGCTGGGATGAGCTGGAGCCATTCCCCGGGCCCACCTCAGCTCCCTGTGGGAGTGCAGCCCCCCATGTTCCCACAACCCCTCCAGCTGGTGCCTCTGCTTGCTGCCCCCCGCCCTGCTCCCCCCTCCCGCCTTCCCCCCGGGATACAGGTCATCCAGAGCAGAAGCTGCCAGAGCAGTGGAGCACCTGCCAGCTCAGGGTGACAGTGATTGACGAGGCCGGGGCTGCCAGAGCAGCATCCTGGACTCCGGAGCAGCTGGTAGGGCAGGAGGGCACAGCGGGCACCCTGGGAGCGGCGGGATGAGGGATGGGGGCACGGGGGAGCAGCTGGGTAGGGGGTGAGGGACAGGAGGCATGTCAGAGTTGGGGTCCCAGGCTGGGGATGGCAGCTGGCTCTGCTCGCTGGTGCCCAAACCAGCGACCCGGCGAGCCTCGGGAAGGGGACGCTGCGGTCCCGGCCCAGCTGCTGCAGGCAGGAGGATGAGGAGGAGCAGGAGGGTGAGGAGGGGCATGGGGAGGAGGATGAGGAGGGGGATGCTGGCAGAAGGATGATGAGGGCACAGGTGGGAGGATGAGGAGGAGGACACAGGCACAGCTCGTGCAGTCTCTGCCCTCTTCCCCCCAGACGGTGTGTGCCGGGGGTCACATCGCCAAGACCCTGGGGTACCTGGAGCTGGGCACCTCCGGCCTCCTCAAGGACGTCCCCTATGGCACCCTGAAGCCCCCAGCGCTCGACCCCGGGCGGCTGATTCCCGCAGAGCCCCCCCGGGGCGCGGGGATGCCCGCGGGCGCCGGCAGGAGCCCCTGGGACTGGCAGAAGAACCAGACGGCCGGGGAGCCGCCGAGCCCCCGCGCCCACCGCAAGCCCACCCTCAAGTCCAGCCGCACCAAGAAGATCTTCGGCTGGGGAGACTTCTACTTCAACATCAAGACGCTCAAGTTCAGCCTCCTGGTGACGGGCAAGATCGTCGACCACATCAACGGCACCTTCAGCGTCTACTTCCGACACAACTCCTCCAGCCTGGGCAACGTCTCCGTCAGCATCGTGCCCCCCTCCAAGGCGGTGGGTTTCGAGGTGCTGGTGCCCGGCCCCCCCCAGCTCCCGCGCCCGCCGCCGCCCCCCCAGCAGAGCACCCTGCCCGAGGGGCGCCCGGCCAAGGCGCTCAACTGCCACGTGGAGTACGAGAAGACGAACCGGGCGCGCAAGAACAAGCCGTGCCTGTACGACCCGTCCAAGGTGTGCTTCACGGAGCACACGCAGAGCCACGCGGCCTGGCTCTGCGCCAAGCCCTTCAAGGTCATCTGCATCTTCATCTCCTTCCTCAGCATCGACTACAAGCTGGTGCAGAAGGTCTGTCCCGACTACAACTTCCAGCACGACAACCCCTACTTCGGCTGACGGCCCCGCAGCGGGAGGTGGGGGGAAGGGGGCTGGGGGTGGTGCTGCGTCCCCTTCACGGCTGCTCGGTGTCCCCCATGACCCCCACACCAGCCCCCCCTTCGTCATTGGAGCATCTCTGTGCTGTGTTATGGGACAGCTGGTGCTGGGGGTCCAGCCCCCCACCCATTGAGACCCTCCCCACCCACTGAAACCCCCTCACTGCGGCACCCCTGCGCCCTACTGGGGTACAACTGGTGCTGGGGGTCCCGGCCCCCCCTACCCACTGAAATCCCATCACTGCAGCTCAGGGGGTGCAGGCACGGAGCCCCCCCATGCTGGGGGCTGGGGCCCCCCGGGTGTGGGGATGAACTGGGGGGTTCCACCCCATGTGATGGCACCTCCGGGGTGTCACGGGGGGCAGGTCAGGGTGCTGAGGGGGGCTCTCAGTCCTCACCCCATACACTGGGGGGGCTTTTGTCCTCTGCAGTCCTACAGCCCTGCACGTGTGTGTGTGCAAGGGTCCACCTAGGTATTTTGGAGCCCCCCCAACACTGGCCCTGCTCCAGTGCCACAACTGAGCCCCCGGTGTCCCATGGACCACCCCCCTCCATGGGGGACCCTTCCATGTGTGCAGCCCCCCCATCCCACGCCATGAAGAAGTGCCATGCAGGGGTCAGGGACGCGGTGAGGAGGGCAGGGGAGTCCCCAGGGGCTGCTCCGTCCCTCCCTCGGGAAGGGGCTTCTTCATCATTTTTTTTTAAAGAAAATTAAAAATGAAAAAAAAAAGTGGAAAATAAAGAAAAAATGGGAGGAAAAAAAAAAAAGAAAGTGTGTTGATCGTCCCCGACCAGGGATGGAGGGGGCAGGGATGGGGGACCCCCAGGATTGGGGATGGGGAGAGCGGGGATGGGGAGCTCCCGGGATTGGGGATGGGGGGCACAGGGATGACCCCGGTCCAGCGGAGGGGAGGGGAGGGTTGGACCTCCAGTTTCCCGTCGGCCCCGGTGGCTCCGCCCCCCCCGGCAGCTCGCGCGTGGGGGCGGAGCCAGGCGGGCACCGGGGCCGGGACCGGGACCGGGACCGGGACCGGGGCCGGGACCCTGCCGGGACCCACGTGCAGCGCGGACCGAGATGTGGCCGCTCCGCCTGGGCAGGGTGAGCCCCACCGGGGGCACGGGGGGCCGGTCCCCGGGGGTTGGGGGGGGTCCCGATCCCCGGTGAGGGATTCCCGGTAAGGAGTTCCCGGTAAGGGTTCCCACATCCCGCGTGGGTCCCGGTGCGCGCCGGGCACTCCGGTCCCCGGGGTCTGCCGGTGCTCGCAGGAGTCCCGGTGCCCGGGGGGCGGGTCCCGGTGCCCGGTAGGGAGGGGCCCGCTCGGGTTCCCGGGGCCCGGTGAATCCCGGGGCCCGCAGGGGTCCCGGATCCCGGGGGGGAAGGGGGTCCCAGTACCCCGGGGAATCCCGGAGCTCGCAGGGGTCCCGGTGCCCGCAGGGTACTCCGGTCCCCGGTGTCTCCCGGTGCTCACCCGGGTCCCGATCTCCGCCACTTCCCGGTCCCCAATGGGGGCAGGCGGGGGGGGTCCCGATGCCCAGTTGTTCGCCCCCCATGTACCTCTTCCTCCCCCCTCCAGCGCCTCCGGGGGTCCCAACTCCATCCCGGTCCTCCCCACCGCCCTCGCCCCCGGTTGGGCACCGACACCCCCATCCCGGTGTCGTGTCCACAGAACGGTCCCGTGCCCCCCAACCCTTCCTCGCGGACTTTGTGTCTGTCCCAAAGTCCCCGGGGCCGGGACAGCCACCGCCACCGGCCTTGGCCCCTGCCCGGTGCCCGCGGCCCCGCGGGTGATGCAATGGGGTGGCGGCGGTTACATCACCCGTCACCGGGGTGAGGGGGGCACCGGGGACCCCCCTCGCTGTGCACGGCGTTGGGGTAGGGGTCCTGCAGGGCAGACACAACCCCCCGTGTACAATGAACGGGGGGCCGTGGATGAGGATTCAGGGGTGCACGTGGGCTTGGGGGGGGTCCCCCTGTGCCCTCTGGGGAGGTTCTCCTGTGCCTTATGGGGTCCTTGGGGGTCTTCACATGCTTTTGGGGTCTTTGAGAGTCCCCATGTGTCTTGTAGGAACCTTGGGAGGGTCCCCGTGTGCTTGGTGGGGTCCCTGGGGGTCCTCATGTACCCTGTGGGGAGCTTGGAGGGGTCCCCATGGGCCTTATGAGGACCTTGGAGTTCCATGTGCCCACCTTGGTGGGTGACACCGGTGACTGGAGACAGAATTTGGGGGTCTTGCTCCTCCCCCTGTCACCTGCAGGTCCGGGGAGGGTAGGGGGGGGGTCCAGCACCCTCCGTGTGGGGTCACAGCCTGTCCCCCCCTCCCTGTGCAGACCCTGCAGCGATGGGGGGGCCGGGTGGGCCCCGGCAGCCAGCGGGCACAGCACGGCTCCGCCGCCGCCGCCACCAGGCAGGTGCCCGGGTGGACGGGGCAGGAGAGCCTGGCCGAGAGCGACCCCGAGATGTGGAGCCTGGTGCAGAAGGAGAAGGATCGGCAGTGCCGGGGGCTGGAGCTCATCGCCTCTGAGGTGGGGGCCAGGGGGCTTGGCTGGGCTTGGGGCCGGGCCCAGGGGACCCCTGCTCGGGGAAGGGGGTTGGCGGCTCCAACTCTGACCCCTGGTTCTCCTCCAGAATTTCTGCAGCCGGGCGGCACTGGAAGCCCTGGGCTCCTGCCTCAACAACAAGTACTCGGAGGGCTATCCTGGGAAGAGGTGAAGTGGGGACGGGATGGGGGGACATCAGGGGTCCCTCTGCAGCCAGGACTGAGCTGCAGGAGGGATTCCCCCAAGGGGGGGCTGGCAGGGGGAGCCCCCATCACCCTGTCCTGTCTCCCCCAGGTACTACGGGGGGGCCGAGGTGGTGGATCAGATCGAGCTGCTGTGCGAGCAGCGGGCGCTCGAGGCGTTTGACCTGGACCCCGCGCGCTGGGGCGTCAACGTCCAGCCCTACTCGGGGTCCCCGGCCAACTTCGCCGCCTACACGGCCCTGCTGCAGCCCCACGACCGCCTGATGGGGCTGGACCTGCCTGATGGGGGCCAGTAAGTGGGGGGCTGGTGGGGGGCCTGGATCCCGCTGCCTCCCGGGGGTCCCGGGCTCACCCCGCACCTTCCCCGCAGCCTCACCCACGGGTACATGTCCGACGTCAAGAGGATCTCGGCCACCTCCATCTTCTTCGAGTCGATGCCCTACAAGCTTGATGTGAGCTGAGGGGCAGGATCTGGGGGGAAAGGGGCAGCTGTGGCTCAGGAGGTACCCACGGCTCAGCCAGAGGTGCCGTGCTTGGAGCCGGGGGAGCAAAGGGGTGCCTTGGCGAGCTGTCTGTCTGTCTGTCCATCCGCTCCCGGGCTGACTGAGCTTTCTGGTCTGTCTGTCTGTCTGTCTGTGCCTCGCAGCCGGCCACAGGGCTGATCGACTACGACCAGCTGGAGGTGACGGCGCGGCTCTTCCGTCCCCGCCTGGTCATCGCGGGCACCAGCGCCTACGCCCGGCTCATCGACTACGCCCGCATGAAGAAGGTGCGTGCTGGGGGAGTGTCTGGGGGCCACAGGGGGCAGGGAACGGGGACAGCGGTGGCCACAGTGTCCCCAGGGTACAGCGGGTGACCACGGTGTCCCCAGGTGTGCGAGGAGGTCAAGGCGTACCTGCTGGCGGACATGGCCCACATCAGCGGGCTGGTGGCGGCCAAGGCCATCCCCTCGCCCTTCGAACACGCCGATGTCGTCACCAGCACCACCCACAAGACCCTGCGTGGCGCCAGGTGAGGCTGCGAGCGCCTGCCGTGTCCCAGGGGTGGTGTTCCCCGGGAATGGAGCTGCCCCAGGGGGTGTCCCACGGGGTGACAGCGGGAGCAGCGGTGCCAGCGTCTCCTGCCCCCAGGTCGGGATTGATCTTCTACCGCAAGGGCGTGCGCTCCGTGGATAAGAAGACGGGGAAGGAGACGCTCTACGACCTGGAGGACAGGATCAACTTCTCCGTGTTCCCCTCCCTGCAAGGGGGCCCCCACAACCACGCCATCGCCGCCGTGGCAGTGGCCCTCAAACAGGTCCGTGCCGGGGTGGGGGGCTCGGGGCGGGGGGTGACCCGGGCCCAGCACTGACAGGGTGTCCCCTCGCTCCCAGGCCAGCTCCCCGGCTTTCCGGGAGTACTGCCAGCAGGTGCTGAGGAACGCCAAGGCCATGGCCCAGGCGCTGCTGCAGCGCGGGTACACCCTGGTGTCAGGTAATGCTCCGTCCCTGGCCCTGTGAGCTGGGGAGGGGTGAGGCAGAACAGGGGCAGCGCTGCAGAGCAGGGGAAGGGCGGCAAGGGGAGGGGTTGGGGGTGCTCGGGGGTCCTCATCCCTCTGCCTTGCTCTCCAGGCGGCACCGACAACCACCTGGTGCTGGTGGACCTGCGGCCCAAGGGCATCGACGGGGCACGGGCGGAGCGGGTGCTGGAGCTCGTGTCCATCACCGCCAACAAGAACACGTGCCCGGGGGACAAGAGTGCCCTGACCCCGGGGGGGCTGCGCCTGGGTGAGGGTCGGGCCCTGCGGGGGGGCTTCCTGCCAGCCCTGGGGTGGGGGGTGCTCAGGCTTTTGCCCCAGGGCAGCCCCACTGTTCCACCCTTCTCTGAGCACTCCGTGTGGGAGTTTGGAGCTGGTTCTGGCCCAGAGAGGGGCACGGGACCCCATGGGGGCTGGCAGCTGGGGAGCTCCTTTGGGGGGGCTTGGGGAGCTCCTTTGGGGGGTTTGGGGAGCCCGTGGGGGGTTTGGGGAGCCCTTGGGGGCTGCTGCCCCACGGTGGTCCCGGCCCTGAGGGGTTCCATCCCCAGGTGCCCCCGCGCTGACCTCCCGCCACTTCCGCGAGGAGGATTTCCAGAAGGTCGTGGAGTTCATCGACGAGGGCATCATGCTGGCCCTGGACGTCAAGAGCAAAACCAGTGAGTGGGGGGGGGCTGTTTCTCCTCCCCCTGTCTCTCCCCGTGCCCCCCTTCCTGGGGGGGGGCCCTTACTCCGTGGGGGCACAGGGGCTGTGCCCCGCGCCGGTGCCAGCCCTGCTCCCCAGCCTGGAGGAGCTTCCCCTGCGGGTGCCTGGGCAGGGATGGGGCTACCGTGGGGTCCCCCCCCTCCTCACCTGCCCCCCTCCCGCCCCCAGGTAAGCTCCAGGACTTCAAGAGCTTCCTGCTGCAGGACCCCGAGACGCAGCGGCGCCTGAGCGACCTCCGCCAGCGCGTCGAGACCTTCGCTCGTGCCTTCCCCATGCCCGGCTTCAGCGACCACTGAGGGGGGGGCTCCCCTCCTGCCGGGCTGGGGTCACTGGGGGGGCGAGGGGAGGCTGAAACCCACCCTCTGCCTTCCCCCCACTCCCCTTCGTCCCCCTTCAGCACCTTTGGGCGCTCCCTCCCCGGAATGGGGGACGGTGCATGCCCGTCCTGCTCTCAGTGTTAGGGTGCAGAGACCCCCCCAGATGCTGACTGGGAGGGGGCACCGCTAGTTCCAGCCTCATCTTGCACTTTTCTATTGGGGGGGTTGCTAATAAAAGCAGGGGCAGAGCCTGGAGGTGTTTGGGTGCTGGGCTGGGGGGGAGAAGGGTGGCTAGGGGTGGGTTCCTGGAGCCCCCCAGCACTGCACCAGGAGAGCTGGGGGTCTCTGTGCCTCAGTGTCCCCATCCTGGGGCTTCACCCAGTGGGCTCTGAGGGCAGGGGGAGACACTGAGCCCCTAAACAAGTCAGGGGGCCATAGCCCAGGCTGCTCCACCCCCTCTTTTCCATG